CCTACTATATACTACCACTAACTAAAGTAAACGACGTAACTAACAACTACTAACTACTACTACTACTACGTACTACATATATATATATATATATATATATATATATATATATATATATATACATTATTCAAGCATGTTTTTTTTCTTCTTCTTTTGTATTTATTGTAATGTTTCAGGTGGTTAAGACTAACATTTTAGGCTTAAATCTTGAACACCTGAGGAATGTTTAACGATTCATACGAGCACTTGGTTACATTTCTAGTCTGGCGGTGATTAAAATAAGTAGGGTAGCCAAGATGTAATAGTTTTTACAATGAATACTAGGGTAACCAAAGTGATTTTCTTGTGAGGACAGAAGAACAACGGTCAAAATATCACCAATAATATATCTTAAAATTAACTGGCGACATAACATTCAACTAGCTCTTTTATTACCTTTGAATGATCACGCGTCGCGCCATCTGTAATATCTATTAAAAGTTAAAAAAAAATATTTAAAAATGGTGCATTTTTAATGTTTCTAAAGTATTAACATTTTAAAGTTTCTGCAGGTCTTATAACTCATTGTATCAAAAAATATATAAGTTATCTGATTGTAAAGGTTTTCTGTCTTGGTCTCAATATAATGTGGTTTCTTAGATGAAAATATAAAGTATATATTTTTACTTCAAATATCATATTAAAGTAAAAGTCGTGTTACTAATTTGATGAACAAGTTGTTGTGAACAATATCGGGAATATTTAGAATTTATTATGATGTATGACGATTACGCTATTAATATAATAAAGCGTAGTTTAAATAGCCTAATCTACTATAAGTATATGATATATTTCGTACATTTACAAGACTATTGAATAACTTTTATTCATAAAGATTAGGCTGCTCCTGTATTGTAGGTTTTATATTATTTGAAACGATATTTATTTTTAATTTTGTATGTGTATATAGTCCAATAAAAAGTTTTTGGGAAACTCTGGTCCAACAATTTCTTTTGAAATCGTAAATGTGTCTCAATTGCTTAGTCTGAAATTTTGCCAACTTTAGCCTAATTGTCTTTTATATTATATCTGCTTATTTTAACTGGTAAAAATATCTAATTTTTTTTAACGGAGAAAAAACACTTTATGCTATAAATGATAAATAAACTACATTTGCAATAAATGTATAATTATCAGTTTTTAAGTTTCCGGAGTCTAACTGTCGAATATTATGCACTCGTAACCTTTTCCAGATCTGATCCAGAATATTGCAGAGCACATTGGAATATTTCAAAAACAAATTTCGTCTTTGATGTTCCTTATTAAGAAATAAAAGATGTCTAGATTGCTTTGAATCGCTTCCATGGTTTCAAGTAATTTAATTATAGAAAACAGAAGTGCATTTTACAACACCATCGCCGCTCCTGATTTCTGAGAAAATAAAGCCAAGAGCTGCTATCTAGACCACCTTAAAAATACTTAATTTTCTCAGAAGATTATTCGCCCTCCTTGACTCCCAGTGGCACAGCGGTATGTCTACGGACTTACAACGCTAGAAACCGGGTTTCGATAACCGTGGTGGGCAGAGCACAGATAGCCCATTGTGTAGCTTTGTGCATAATTACAAACAAACAATCCTTGACTCCCTTTCATGGGCGTCAACAGACATTTTTCCAAGGAGGGGTAAAGTTTCAGGAGGAGGCAAAGTATGCTGAATGAATAAAGAAATAATTATATTTCTAATTTTCCAGGGGGACTGACTATTCCCCCCCTTTGAGGAACTCCGGGGAGAAGGTTCGGTATAGATTTATCCTGATCTCTACTTTCAAAGTTTGATAGCCAGTGGATAAAACATATCGTTAAGTTCTAATTCTAAGCTGAGGTCGTTGTGCCAAACGCTTTAAAAAACAACAACACTTTTTAAAAAATCTAATAAATATCCTACAGTGCATTATCTATTGTTGGTTCCAGTTTCGGTCAGATCTATAAGATAATCTGTGGTTTGTCTTCTCTTTCTAAAACGTTTCGTTAATTTTTTTCATTTCATTCCAGATAGAATGGTAGGTGGTTGGTTAGGATTTTTTTGTAACAGTTTGGCAGTATAGTTAATTAGACTGAATGGTCTATTGGTTTTTGTTTTATCAACTAGATTTCCTATCCATGCAAATAGTGGCCTGCTTCCAGGGTTTTAGCGGATGACTAAATTTTAATGATAAGCTATACCGCTTCTGGGTCCTTTTCTGTTGGGGTTGTACCTAATATTGTCCTCCCAAGGGGGGGGGGTATTGTTGTAGTACGTTAAACCTTGATTTCTGTTTGTATTGGGGATGTAGCTAATATTGTTCTCCCGGGGGGGGGGTATTGTTGTGGTACGTTTACCTTGGTTTCTGTTTGTGTTGGAGATGTAGCTAATATTGTCATCCCGAGGGATATTGTTGTGGTACGTTTACCTTGATTTCTGTTTGTGTTGGAGATGTAGCTAATATTGTCCTCACGAGGAATATTGTTGTGGTACGTTTACCTTGATTTCTGTTTGTGTTGGGGATGTAGCTAATATTGTCATCCCGAGGGATATTGTTGTGGTACGTTTACCTTGATTTCTGTTTGTGTTGGAGATGTAGCTAATATTGTCATCCCGAGGAATATTGTTGTGGTACATTTACCTTGGTTTCTGTTTGTGTTAGGGGTGATGTAGCTAATATTGTCATCCTGAAGGATATTGTTGTGGTACGTTTACCTTGGTTTCTGTTTGTGTTGGAGATGTAGCTAATATTGTCATCCCGAGGGATATTGTTGTGGTACGTTTACCTTGGTTTCTGTTTGTGTTGGAGATGTAGCTAATATTGTCATCCCGAGGAATATTGTTGTGGTACGTTTACCTTGATTTGTGTTTGTGTAACTTGGCATGTGACGTGGTGAGTCATTGGGTGTTTGTTAGTGGATTTGCAATATTTAGGTGGAAAATACGTGGTGGGCAGAGCACAGATAGCCCATTGTGTAACTTTGTGGTTAACTTCAAACAAACAAACAAATAGAGTCATAGTAGCGCGTCCCCTACCAACCCTCTGCACCCTCCTTACCCTTTGGGATGCGCGCACTATAGTTTATACACCACGAGTCTAGACTATGTACAATATTGTAAGAACAAATTAAAATAAAATAAAACAGAAATAGCATTTGTACCTTGATCATATATGGTATGGGAAAAGATGGAGTGATGTCATGGTAGTGTTACGACAACGGTAGTTACGTGACGCTTGTAACACGTCATGATATTCTAGAA